GGCATGAAACAAAGCTTCACCGTTTCCATTAGGGCAACATTGGCATATGAAATGTTTCTGCAGATATGAACAAATTGGTTAAATGCCATTTACAAAGTTTATCGTGTCTCTGCCCTTCATTATCAGATTCGTCATAAAAGGTTCACCTTGAAGCGCACCAAAATGCCTAAAATGTTTCTAACGACAGTGCTGAACCTCAAGGACCTTCTTCAATTCCTCGTGACCTCCCTTGGAATTTAGACCTCGGGTACTAAGCCCTGGCCGCGTCATTTAAAATTTGAGAACTGTAGTGGCCAATAGAGACTCTGGAATTTGGCATTTGAGCGTTGAATTATGGTGGAGTCGTAGTACAGGGAAGGGTGGGGGCTTAATCTTGCCTTTGGCAGAAGTCGAGACGCCATGTACATCACAGGTCTAGGATCCATCAATGCTGCACAGGGACACACTGATGGATCTGAAGGCTAAGATATTGTAAGTACCACAAGGCCCCGGCACGTCTGCACTGCTGCTACCCTAGAAATGTTTCAGGCCAGGGCAGATTCACTGTAAAGTTACCCTCTGGCATGGGTGCTAAATGGGCAGCCGTAATGGAAAACAGACACCTAGAGGTGCACAGGGTACTACTGCCCAGCCCTGCCTCATATCATCTTTAGCTATTGAAGAGGAAGATCAGGTATAAAAATAGACCAAAAAACAAAATATTGATGAATGAGAAAAAAAAACACATTTATTTTGTGTACGGATCTGAATTCAGACTTGCTCACCTCCAGCCAGGCGTGGGAAGGTCCTGTATCGGTCCAAGTTCTCTCCTACCTGTTTCCACAGCCTCCTAAAGGTTCTAGGTGTTAGAAGAAAAACAAAAAAATTTTGTTAATGCCGTACACAAATGAACATCCTGTCCCAAAGGAACTTACAATCTAATGGCCCTATCTCACGTGCATATATACGAGGGCTGATTTAGACCGGAGCCAGTTTTCACAGCTCTTAAGCAGAAAGAGCCGAGAACCCAGCGCTCCCTCTTCATCACTGAGCAGATCAGCGTTCCTCGGTCTGCTCCCGCTCTCCATCCTGACTCCCTCTGCCATGGTCCTGGGCCCTCCCGAGAAGGGGGGACCCTGAAAACCATGGGGGGGGAGGGGTACCAGGCCCGATACGGCAGGTCTGGCTGTACCCACGCCAGCACTCCCAGCAACCAATGACTGAAGTGGAGAGGGGCCAGGTCGGCTATTGTGAACTCTGGACCGAACTGCCACTTGCTCCGTGTCTGGACCACGGTCCAACCTTTAGTGATGGCTAGTCTACAACAATGCCCCCCCCCATCACACACACATATACAAGCGCACACACACATATTTAAATCTTGGTGCTGGAACTTACGGCACGCTTCCCGTGAAATTAATCCCGCTGAGGTGTTCTGAGCCGGTGACGGTATCTCCGAAGACCGGGCCGTCTGCTGGAACAAACTGTATAATGTTGGGGGGTAGGCCCGCTTCACGGAGGACGTTGTACATCGCGTAACTGGCAAGTATGGCCGTATCGCTAGGCTTCCACAGGACCACGTTACCCTGCCATGTGACCATACATAATTGGGTTAGTATAAGCTACTCATATAGGTAAGTGTATCCTATTAGAGGAATGCTCATCGTGGGGAGGGAGAGCGCTGGGGTAGCACCGGGTTCCAGGGGATAAGGGTTAGGAGATACGCGGTGGTATGCAATATGCAAACCCCTTTGAAGTAAACCTATTCAGGTCTAACTAACTATCACTGTCATGTTCCACAATGACATAGAACCGGGAACACGTAGGTACACAGGGGGCAGCTAATTAGAGGACGTTTGACAGGCAGATAATCCTAGCACCTTGATGATCTCGGTGTATTCCGATGTAAACAGGTCAATTATACTCATGTAGAATTCTGCACCTGCAAATAACTGTTTAATGACACTCAACACCTATTGTGTGTCTGACATGACACTTCAAAGAGAACACCTGAATCCGATTATCCCCCCCCCTACACACAAAGTGCGCTGGCTTCCTAACCCCTATTTATCTGGGTGGGACAGACCTTTCCCGTCTGAACAGAGTTCTATATTATAGTTATCTCTCCTGAAAGTGGCAGAACACTGAAACACTGATAAAACATGCCGGAATAATGGAAGGTCCTTTCAGGATTATCCAACCGCGGGGATTACTGTGTTTCAGAGCGTCGGAATGGCTTTCTCAGACTACTTTAGGGAACATCGTGACATTTGATCTCATGCGCAGGGATTACTGGCCACATGTTTTACAACAGGACACAATGTTCTGTAATTATTCCTCACATCGCAGGTTAAAAGGGATGAAGGGGGTTTGGTTTTGTTTTTTTTCTTCTATCATCTGGTAAAATCAGGTGATGGAATTCACTAAAACCTCGCCTTTTATTAAAGGAGAACTCTGGTGTACTGAACATACTGTGCTGTGGTTCCTAATTGCAGAAGTTTGAAAACTAAAGCACATATACAGCAATCAGATGGGCAATCTCCTTATATGTATTTACTAAAGCTATGCAACGTAAGAGCCCATCTAACAATCTTTGTTTCCTGCCTTACATAGATTGTTGGTGGATCTATGGGAGATTGTTGACGGATCTATAGGAGATTGTTGGTGGATCTATAGGAGTTAGTTGATGGCTCTATAGGAGATTGTTGGTTGATCTGTACAAGATTGTTAACGGATCTAAAGGAGATTGTTGCTTGATCAATAGGAGGAGGTTGTTGCTGGATCCATAGGAGGAGGTTGTTGGTGGATCTATAGGAGGAGGTTGTTGGTGGATCTATGGGAGATTGTTGATGGTTCTAAAGGAGATTATTGGTGGATCTATAGGAGATTGTTGATGGTTCTAAAGGAGATTATTGGTGGATCTATAGGGGATTGTTGGTGGATCTATAAGAGATTGTTGATGGGTCTATAGGAGGCTGTTGATGGGTCTATAGGAGATTGTTGGTGGATCTATAGGAGGTTGTTGGTGGATCTATAGGAGGTTGTTGGTGGATTTATATGAGGTTGTTGGTGGATCTATAGGAGATTGTTGGTGGGTCTATAGGAGATTGTTGGTGGGTCCATAGGAGATTGTTGGTGGATCTATAAGAGATTGTTGATGGATCTATAAGAGATTGTTGATGGGTCTATAGGAGGCTGTTGATGGGTCTATAGGAGATTGTTGGTGGATCTATAGGAGGTTGTTGGTGGGTCTATAGGAGATTGTTGGTGGGTCTATAGGAGATTGTTGGTGGGTCTATAGGAGATTGTTGATGGATCTACAGGAGGTTATTGATGGGTCTATATGAGATTGATGGTGGATCTACAGGAGATTGTTGGTGGATCTATAGGAGATTGTTGGTGGATCTAAAAGAGATTGTTGGTGGGTCTATAGGAGATTGTTGGTGGGTCTATAGGGGATTGTTGAGGGTTCTAAAGGAGATTGTTGGTGGGTCTATGGGAGATTGTTGATGGGTCTATAGGAGATTGTTTGTGGGCCTATAGGAGATTGTTGCTGGACCTATAGGGGATTGTTGGTGGATCTATAGGAGACCGTTGGTGGGTCTATAGGAGATTGTTGGTGGATCTATAGGAGATTGTTGGTGGATCTATAGGAGATTGTTGGTGGATTTATAGGAGATGGTTGGCGGGGTCTATAGGAGGTTGTTGGTGGATCTATAGGAGATTGTTGATGGAGTTTGCCCACCCCTGGTATAAATGGCTACAGAAGTGGTTGTATTAGAACAGCATGTGGCTAGACTTCTAGTCAGTGCAATTTAGAACATGTCTCTCTTTGGGGAATCTAAAGCAGTATGGAGGGTTGTTCATGTGGTTGAAGGTCGGCTTGATGTGGCAGAGGTTGTAGGAGGGATTGTTGGGGTTTCTGTTCCCAGTGGGGTGTAGAGGGATGAGTAGAGAAAGAGGAGTGGACGAAAGGGGGTTTGGGTAGGGAGGGAATTAGGTGGGTAATCGACCAGGGGAATTTTTTTTAGGGTGCGGGAAAATGGGAATGGGGCATAGGACCTGACCAGGGCATGGGGCGCCGTGACTAGGCAGTTGCTGGCATTTTGCTTTAAGTAGGATCGTGTTGTATGCAATGAGAACAGTTTGGTAACTTCACACTTACCATTAAAGCCGGAGCCCCCGCCAAGTTTCCCCCAATGGCAGTAAAGTTGAACGGAGACACAGCAGCAATGAATCCCTGGTGGAGGCAGAGCAATTGTGGATTAGGTGTATACACAGAACATAGGTGGGGTATATACATCCACGGTGATCTGTCAGGGCAGGTTAAACATGGTATAGAGCAGCAGGCACAGAACAAGTTTGTCAGCATATATTTATGTATCTAGAATTTATATTACCCAATACCTGGACACAACCTAAATCTCCCCCATCTGCAGGATTATGATGGAGGAGAGCTGACGCAAATATTGATTTTGGAGACTCCATATGGATAACGTTTGCATCATCACATCACCTCTGTGTGTCAGTTTACCTCCAGGCCCCGGTACACCATTGTGTTGGTACTGATGGGCACGCTAATAGGCTGTTCGTGCTGCAGTTGCAAGGCGTACTTGGCATTGAACCGGAAAAAGTCGATGAGCTCAGCAGCTGCGTCTATCTCGGCTTGAATAGCAGTTTTCCCCTACGGAGAGAAACAAAATCAATCACCATTACATAACATAACAGAAATTTCGGGCAGGTTTCAATGTGAACCTTCCAGTGAATGGAGACCGGTTGGGCAGAATTCACTTGTAATGTTCTTGTCAGAATTTTTACCTGTCCAATCATGGTCTTGGCCAGAACTTCCGCTCTTCTGGGGCCGCTAAGAAGATCTGCTGCTTTAAAGAAAACTTGTGCGCGGTCCTCAGCTGGTTTTAGGTCCCATTCCTTACGGGCTGACAAAGCAGCATTGATGGCTTTGTTGAGGAGTTCCTGTGACAGAGATTCCAGTTATCGCTTTATGTGTATCAGTGAATTTCAGGCAAACCAATAAATACCTAGATGAACTACACATAAGGGAGCTGTGTTTCTATCCATCCAGTTCCGAGATTTACTCAGCTCAGGTGCGCAGCACAACCCTATTTGAGCACTGTAGTGCACCTGACTGACTCCTTGTGCTGCTTCCCAATATGAGCTCTGAGCCTAACAGCAGGTAAGGTTCAGCTATTTACACTGTTGGCATATAAACAAAATGATTCCTTTTGATAGGTGTAGCTAGACATGGTCCAGTGGGTGGGACTGGGATGGACTAGACATGGTCCAGTGGGTGGGACTGGGATGGACTAGACATGGTCCAGTGGGTGGGACTGGAGGTACTAGACATCGTCCAGCAGCTGAGACTGGGCTGGACTAGAATTGTTCTACTGGGTGGGATTAAACATGTCCTAATTTGTGGGATTATACATGACCTACTGGGTAGGACTGGGCAGGACTACATATAGTCTAGTGGGTAGGACGTGGAGGGACTAGACATAGTCCAGAAGCTGGGACTGAGCTGGACTATAATTTTTCTACTGGGAGGGATTGGGCGGGACTAAACATGACCTAGTGGGTGGGACTGGGCAGGACTAGACATGGTCTAGTGGGTGGGACTGGACATGGTCTAGTGGGTGGGACTGGACATGGTCTAGTGAGTGGGACTGGACATGGTCTAGTGGGTGGGACTGGGCATGGTCTAGTGGGTGGGACTGAGCATGGTCTAGTGGGTGGGACTGGGCATGGTCTAGTGGGTGGGACTGAGCATGGTCTAGTGGGTGGGACTGGGCAGGACTGAACATGGTCTAGTGAGTGGGACTGGACATGGTCTAGTGGGTGAGACTAGGCAGGACTAGATATGTTCTAGTGGGTGGGACAACACATGGTCTATTGGGCTAGGCGGGACTAAACATGGACTAGAATTGTTCAACTGGGTGCGACTAAACAAGACCTAGTGGGTGGGCCTGGCAGGACTAGATATAATCTAGTGGGTGAGACAAGACATGGTCTGGTGTGGACTGGGCAGGACTAGATATGGTCTAGCGGGCAGGACTGGCATGATGTAGTGTTGAATGAAAAGCAAGGGGCAATGTTGACTGCAGTGAGCCCAGCCCAAGGTGATGTCACTGTAATGCGCTAGTTCTAATTAATTCATCCAATGCAAGAGTGACAACAGGAATATTTGCCTGACTGAGCTGCAGCGTTGTCACTTGATAGCAGGAAGCGAGGAAAGAGACTGACCGATGCTACCTTACTGATGTTACAGAGCAAACTTGCTTAAATGAACCCCATTCTGTTACTGAACTGATCACCTCGCATCCCATAGTTATGTTTAGACCAATCGTCAGGAATAAGAACGTCACTCAACAACAATGAATGGAGACGGAGAATGAGAAGATACATTGTAGGTTTCCTAGTATAGAGATGGGATCGGGGTGGATTGGAGGACAGGAGAAGGATACCCGGAATGGTGATTATCAACATTTCGAGGGAACGTCTAAACTTCTAAAGGGGTGGGAACCTATAAAACTACTAAAAAGAGTTCCAGAGAGAAGGTGCAGCGTGGAAGAAGTCCCGGGTTTCCTTACCTTGTCTGCGTAACAGTATTTGGCCACTTTGTGCGAATGTTTAAAAGGCTGAAACGAAATAAAGAGGATTTAGTCCCAGAAGTGAAATAATCTTCCATGTAACATTGTGCGATCCTGACACTATAGAGACCTCTTCATGTGTTCAGTGTTTTATAATCACCCCTGTGGCCCCTTCGCTTGTATTCTGACCTCTACACCTGGCTGCCTCTATGGGGCCTCCAATGTTCTACTAAACAACAACACATCATACATAGAGCATTGGCATATCGGACCTTCTGTGTGTCATGTGACCTCTTGTAGCAACCAATCAGATTCTCCCTTTTGTGTGAATGCAGATTAGGCCATACCAGGAACTCTGGTTGGTCAATAAGGACTCCGTACAGGAGCCAATTGTGTGTATGGGTCGGGGGGGTGACGTGAGAAGTTTATATTTGACGTCTTGTAGATTATCGCGCGGTGTGACATTTATTTTGTCTAATTCCCCTTCTATTTCTATCCACCAATAAGAACGAAGGAATCCGTCATACCGAAACCTGGTATCGGACATCTTTGGTCCACACCGCTTCTCCTCCGACCACGCACGGGATTTCCTCTGTCTTGTCCTTGAGTTCTTGTAGGGCCTAGAACAAAACGGAGGTCAGGTGATCACGCCAGGTTGGTCATAAGCCCCACCCACCCACTGACCCACCGTCCAATCAAAGTGCCTCGCTGGGGAACGAAGCCAATTTTTGTAGGGCTGGTACTGCTTAAAATTTTCGTGTTCGATTAATCAAACTTTTTTTTTTTATCGATTAATTTCAAGTCCCCTTCCCTTCGTTAGCTGACGGAGCCACTTGGGGAAGGAGTCTGGTGACGTCGATGTCCGTGACATCATCGGATCTCCGATGGGAGTGTTTTCATTACTGATTAAATGAATTTTAATCGAGCAAAAAATTTTAACGATTAATCGGGTAATTCATCGTTTCCGCAGCCCTAAATTTTTGTATACAGTGTAGAAATAGGAAACGGTCACTTTAAGGTCACAGAGGTGACTGAGGACCCCCGGCAGGTGAGGGAAGGTCAGGCTGGTTCACTGGCGGTGAATGCTTCGTCAGCGGATCAGTGGCGAATCATTGACAGTATCTGGCTGGGAATTTTGGTGGACGGAATCATCTGGATAACCTGAAAAGTGTCCCCGGAGTTAATTATTACTACAAGGTCTCCACAGCCGTGTGATCCCCATTACCGACTGACCATGTGACACAGCGCAGGCTCTCGGATGAGCGGTTCTGTCCAATGGGAATCGCTCTCCTTGTGCCGGTGACCGCGTTGCCTACAGCCCATTTACTTCTAGATTTCTGTCACTATGTGCCGGGGGGTGGGCAAACTCCGGCCCTCCAGCTGTGGTGCAACTACAAGTCCCATAAGGGATTGCAAGACTCTGACAGTCCCAGGCATGACTCCCAGAGGCAGATGCATGATGGGAATTGTTGTTTCACCGCAGCTGGAGGGCCGGAGTTTGGCTACCCCTGCTGTACATAGATATAGAAGGGTCCCGGTGCTACAAATGTCCTTACTTGCTGCAGAGCTGCTCTCTCCGGGCTGCCGTGCTTGAATTCCAGGATGGGCTCATTCTTTACCTCGGCCACCGCGCAATGATGCCATCGAAGTCTGCGGGGGACAAGAACAGGATGAGCTTTATTAATCATCTCAGGGAAGTTGCATTGGATCTCGGGTATTAAAGACGTAAGGACTTATTGAAGGGAAACGATCTTTTCACTGATTGGACGCCAATAAATCAAAATCTGATTGGCTGCCATGGGTTACAGCACATTTCCCTCTTCCTGTATATGTAATAACAGACCCAAGGGGGTCTTGATGGACAAATGTCTGTTGCCCATAGTAACCACATGTGACGATTGTATATGTACTAATTATTGTAGTGCTCCCTGGGGCAGAAGAGTCCACCATAGTGGAAATTGCTGGTTGGAGTCAGAACATTTTATTTTTTTAGCCACCTCCCCCCTTTTCCTCCCTACTCACCCTCCCTACTGACCCTCCCTACTCACCCTCTGCACTCACCCTCCCTACTCACCCTCTCCATTCACCCTCCCTACTCACCCTCTCTACTCACCCTCCCCACTCACCCTCTCTACTCACCCTCTCCACTCACCCTCCCTACTCACCCTCTCCACTCACCCTCCCTACTCACCCTCTCCACTC